TGTTCAAATGAGTCATGACTGTGAAGGCTGTACCATATGATTTACATCATTTTCATACTCATCAAATCATTTGTGATCCTGTGGACAGGGGCATTGTCATCCTGTAAGAGACCACTCCTATCAGGATAGAAATGTACCTAGTTCTGCAATACAGGCATATTCTGACACCACAATACTAACTAGTTACGGAAAGGATGACAGCTTACCTTATAGTTCATATTTTGGCGTAGAAGAAGTATATGTGGGAAACATAGAGCTTCAAAAGAATGCACTTTTATCGAAACATGGCAGTACGGAGGACCTTTCACTCAGCGCTCATGAATGGCCGTGAAGCAGGGTAGGACACCTCCAGCCACACATACCCAGGCAAGAGGCTTATGAGACACTAAGTATATTGTATTATTTCTGTTTATTGATCTAAGAAACTGGCATTGAACAGTATATGGAGACACTCAAAGAAGCGTTTACCCAACAGAGTTCAGTCCCTGATTGGCATCTGGCAGCAGCACGTACCTTTTGCCACTTTCTGCTGTCAGATGCCAGATCAGGGACAGAACCCTCTCTCCCTTGAAAGTTATTGCTTTGTCATACCCTTTTCCTACCTTTTTTCCTACCTTTCCCAATATTGGTGTGTTTAGTGTTTTTAATGAATTCATGAATTTTAGTATTTTTTTTATTACATTTGAGTGTCCCATGTTGCTTTCTGAATCAATGCCCTGGGTAATATATAACCATTCTGTGCACCTGGCTATTTGTAGTTAGTGTTTCCCTTCATTACTTTAGGTTAACTTTTACATCTGAACTGTTATTGCTCCAGCCATGTACAGCTGACAGAGAGCTTTTAAACCATGGAGGCTTTATAACTTTAAGTAGCTGTAGAAAGTTAGTTAATCTACCTCTTAAACAGGCAGAAGTGTAAAATAACAAATACAAAAGACATTTTTTAAACAAAAGCTCAATAACTTATTTACTGTAGGGCCCAAAATTGTAAAACCATTAAACTCTGTTCTATAATTACAACTTACCACAGCAAGCCAAGTTTAAATTGTGGTGTTAATATTTTATATACAAAAAATCAATAGCTTCTTTACTTTAGGGCCCAAAATTGTAAAACCAAATGCATTTGACTGCCCTGTTCTCACAGCTTTCCACAGTAAGCTGAATTTATGAATTAATATTTTATATACAAAAGAAGTCAGTAACTTTCGCTGTAGGCCATACAGTAAATATCTTAGTTATCCAGTTTTTGATGCTGAAAACATTAATTAAAATGAAATACTAGAGTTTAAATTTGCTTGCTGTAGAAAGTTGTAATGATAGAACAGCGTTTCATGTATTTGGTTTTACAGTCTTAGGCCTTACAGAAAAGAAGGTATTGAATTGTTTTATATGTGAAATATTAATTATAATTCAACACAACATGCAGTTTAAATTCTGCTTGCTGTAGTATCAATAGTAGGATGGTCTTTAATGCTTTTGATTTCATATTTGTAGGCCTTATAGTAAAAAAGCTCATTTTTTAAATATTTTAAACATTGATTAAATTAAACAACAGTTTATTAAAATTTGATTTGATGTATTAAGTTGTAATGACAGGACAGTCCTTAATGCCTTTGTTTACAATTTTGGGTCCTAAAGAAGTTATTAATTTTTTGTATATAGAATATTAAATAAGTTTGGAGAACTATTCATGCTTAGGATGTTAAAACCATAGCCTATTAAAGCTTAATTAAAAAGGATAAAGAATTAATTTCCTTTTACTGTGCAGACAAACATATAGCTATGTTAGCTAGCTAGTTAGCTAAATTTAGCTTCATGTTGACTAAGCTCTTCATATAGGAAAAGGAAAATATGTTGTTTTTTCAGTATATTTTGCTCACAGATTCCTGGCTATGGATATGCTTTAAAATGATTGTTTCTGTAGGGCTGTTCTTACACTTTCCTCTTGAAACTACATAACGTTTATCAGAACTATAGAGGAAAAAAGCTGATAGAATGCACCAGTTCTACCATAAAAAAGCACCTTAGTATGCCCTTGTCTGTTTTAGTGATCTAGAACATTTAATTCGATGGAAAAAAAAGAGTTATAATAGAGCCACTAGATGTCTGCCAGACCTTAACAAGTTCAGAAAATTAAGTTTTAATATCTGCAAATATATGTTAAACATTGTATTGAGACATAATTACTCTGGGAGACAACCATGGGCAAGTAATCTCATGGGTTGGTTTGTTTATTTATGTATTTATGTTAGATCATGTACTGACGCATAGCTGATAATCCATTCTGCCTTAGTCCTTTCCATTTTCTGAGCAGCAGGAAAAAAATTGGGTTTCCCTCAAGGTAATGTTACAAAATTCACGAATATCATAGAAAGACCCAGAGCAGCCATTCTTAATCCTGCTCCTGGTGACCCACTGCAACTGCACAGTTTTAATACCTCTGATCCAGCTCTTGAAGGGCTTCATACTCAGTTTAGAGCTGGATCAGGTATATTAAGTCAAAGAATAACTGAAACCATGCAAAGCTGTGGGTTGCCAGGAACAGGGTTACAGTAGTACCACCCCATCTGTTTGACCCCCTGGTGGATGTAACTACAGGTAAGATTAACTACCATTAACATCAGCAAGGATGCGCAGCTCTGGTGGAGGACCTCTGTCTAGAACAGTTGTGTAATGGCCCTGTTTATGCACCCTGGTCCACCTCTTCTGTTAATTACCTGGTTCAGTAGGTGAGTTTGAGCAGAGAAATCACCAGGCTGTGCTGAACTGTGGCACTCCGGGGCCAGAACTGTCCTGAAATACACCATGCTGTGACTTCAGTTCAGGTAGAAGCACATTGACGTCCTGACATTAAAAATCAATGACTTGATTTGATGACTGTAAAACTTTTGCCATAGAATTATGTACCCTTTTGCTACTGTGACTGTTAAGGAGTTCTTTGTAGTCTCTGGAGTCGCACTTTATTGAATTAAATTGCCCCCTTGTGGTTGAATTCTGGTACAGCACGCTAATTTTTAGCCTTTAGCTCTCCGGTGATTTTTCTTACTTGGTCCCCTAAGAGGGAAAGGTTCACTCGAAGTTTTGTAGCCATGATGTGCAGTGACAAAATATAAGAAAATGAATTCCTATGTCATCATAGCCTACTTACTATTCTTAGTGTATTTGATTTTAAAAATGCAATAACACTGTAAATGATGTCACATAAAGTGATGATTACAATCATCAAAAACAATGATTAATAATGAGCATATATATAGCAAGATCTAAGAAGACATTTACTTACTGTCAGTTATAGGGCTCACAAAAGCAACAAGTGCAGTGCCTGTAAGAAGTGAAGTGCCTCAGTTTATAAAGTATAGCTGAACTCATTGTAGGTCACCGTATCTGATCCTCAAAGCTGTCCCGACTTGAGTGGAACAGTCACATTTAAAATCTTATCAGTAGCAAAATATCATGTTAATAATATTTTAAACCACCATCAATTTCTGTTCATATTAAAGAACAGGCAAGTAAGTAATAATAACACTGCAATTATAAAGATTTATAAAATGATTTTTATGCTTTCATAACTCTTTTGGGCTTTGATTTTAAAAATGCCCCCCCAGCTTCCAATTCCTTATTAAGCTGTACAATGGGGTGTACATCAGTGTTCTTTGCACCACCACTAGCTGATGCTTGAGCTTTCATGTAGTGGTCTTAGGCTTGTGTGCGGCTGCTCGGGCATGAAACCCATTTCATGAAGCTCCTGATGCACAGTTCTTGTGATGTTGCTGAGATGCAACAGACGTGATTTGTATGTGCTACACACTTTAACATTTAGCCATCCCACTCTGTGAGTTTGCACTAACAGTTGAGCGGGGCAGATCTAGCAGGGCAGAAATTTCATACACTGACTTATGGCAAAGTTGGAATCCTTTGACAGTGTTTAAAGTCACTGAGCTGTTCAGTACAACCGATTGTACTGCCAGTGTTTTTTCTGTGGAGACTGCACTTGATTTTGTACACCTGTTAGCAATGGGTGTGACTGAAACATCTGAACTCAAAATTTAGGAGGAGTGTCCACATACATTTGCTCAAATAGTGTGTTTATATAGAACAAGACCTTAGAAGATGTTCATTATTAGGCAAAGGCTTTAAGCTCATGTGCCTCATTTCACCTGAACTCCTTGTGGACCAGAGCACATCATATATATTGTTCCCATGTTCTTCTGATATTTTGTAGAATATGATTTATGTTTTATTATAGTGAAAACATTTGTTGAAGTATAGTCAATAGTATAAGTTTCTATTAGCATGTGTAGCTCATACTTACTGCTCCATATCAAGCAGGCCATCTCAGCATTTTGCTGTCTGAGATGATCAAACTGACCACTGGGTCTAGTGTTTAAAACTATTGTCCCTTGTGCCCCTCATGTCTCAGAAAGGATGACAGTGTACATTATGATTCAAATATTGCACATTTAGTTAGTGAATAAGCATGTACTTTTACTGGGCAGTACCTCCATGTTTTGCATAAATATACATTTTAATTTAGTAAAACAACATATGATGTAAACTTTCAAGTTACTGTGGTCACAATATAGGCTGGAGATTCATTTGAGTTCATCTTCTTCTGCCCAAATTATATTTGGTGGCCTATGAGGCTTCTGCAAAGAAAAAAATATTTTAGATTCTCTTAATCTCCCAAATGGGCAAAATGAGTGTAAACAGAACTCTGACTGCTAGAGTGTTGTCTTTAGGTGAGTGTCACATCTTGGTCTCTGTTTTAAAACACCACAAAGATACTGTGTTTGGCTACATGTGAATGAATAAAATGTACTTTACTTTTTTTCCTATGTTGATACTACTATTACTGCTACTACTACTACTACTACTACTACTACTAATAATAATAATAATAATAATAATGATAATGTCTCAATGTTTGATCATCCTCATATAGAGAAACAGAATTTTTAACTATTTCAAGAATTAAAAACATAAAAACACTAGACAAATAAGAAAAAAAAAGACTTCCTTACCTGCACATTGGACAGTCTTCCTGTTCATTTAATTTTTTTAATTTTGATGATCTGACAGAGTAATGTCCCAAAGTTTCTCTAGTTCCATTATGACAAACTATGGCTGATGTTGATACTACTATTACTACTACTACTACTACTAATAATAATAATAATATTAATAATAATATGTCTCAAATGTTTGATCATCCTCGGATAGAGAAACAGAATTTTTAACTATTTCAATAATTTAAAACATAAAAACACAACGCAAAGAAGAAAAAATGAAAAAAAAAACACTTCCTTACCTGCACATTGGATAGTCTTCTTGTTAATTTTAGAAAAGCAATAACTGCAACTGCTGCAGCCACAAATACGAGAACAAAACTAATGATTCCAACTATCAGAGTTTTACTTTCACATTCAGCATCAGAAGAATTTGTTCCTGCATTTATTTCTGTAAGTCCCAGATCTTCACATCTATCAGAGTGAAACACAATCAGTGATGAAGTAATATAAATCTTCTCTGTCTAGTTTAAAAGCTGTTGGAAGTCTTTGACATTCTTTAAGTTAATTGTTACTCTACTCTCCCTAAAAGTCAGAGGCTAAATGTCATTAAAGCTACAACGAAAACCAAATGACAGTTTCTTTTCACAAACTGTATCTCTGCACCATTTTCACCTTTAACTCATAATAGAAAACATATTTCATTGTTGGCATTTATTTATATTTTGTGTGATTTGTGATCTTACAGTTGATTTGTAGCAAGTTTTTCCCTACTGATCACAAAGATCATGTGGTCACATTCATCAAGTCAACTCACTTTGAATGTTGTTGGCAGAAGAGAAGAGAGCCGTTTGAGAAGGTTCCATCTGAACATTCAGCACATTCAGTATCTTTAAATGCTGTTCCTGCAAACATACAAGTTCTGCTCAGTCTCAGTGAATAAAGTAGCTGCTCCTGTGATCTAGGCATTTAAAAAGGAAAAGTGCACAAGGTGTTAGTGAGAACTTTCTGTGTATACTGATATATTACACCAACCCTTATGCTTTATATATTGTCCAGGGCTGCAGTTTGTGTGTTTCTGTGCTAGTATACAGCTGCCTCTGTGTTGATCAGTGCAGTAATATCCATCTAGTGGCTCACAGACTGTATCTGATGATCGAGTGCAGGGAGTCTTTACTCTTAAACCCTGACCTGCGAACAACAACACTTTTCATCTTAAACATATTACCATAAAGAATACTTTAAGAATGAGTGCTTTACATGCACACAGAACACATAATTCTACACAAAACATGAATTTCTTATAAAGAAAAGACTTACCAGGATCACACACTGCACAGCTAAAGCAGTCTATGAGTCCGTTTGGTGCGTCAATGAAAGTTGAATGATAGCATGGAACACAGGCAGTGCTGGTGTCCTCAGTGCAGTGCCTATAAACATGGTTCCCTAAAAAAACATACAGCCAATGATGAGCTGACAGAGTAATGTCCCAAAGTTTCTCTAGTTCTTTTATGACAAACTACAACTGATTTTTTTTTTCTAAATAGTGTTTTTTCCATTCATTGATTCTATTCATACACTTAATTCACACTCATTGTGATGCAAATGACTCACTACAAATATGAGACCCTCTTTGTGATGGAATGTCTTGGGTGAATTCACTCATCACTGGCTTTTTAACACTTTTACCATACCCTACCTTACCATAAAACAAGTCTGAATTAAGCCAAATCAGCTTTAACTTACCAGGTGCACACATGGGACAGCATTCTCCATCTATCTCATACTCAGCTCGGGCACACATGCAAAAACAGAGTTCAAAATTCAGGGAGAAAATAGCAGCGATAAAAAAAATGATCTCCACTCCACAGATCATTTTTAAAATGTTTGTATTTCATGGAGGAGAAGCTGAAAAGAAAGGGCAAATGTGTTAGAATGGCTGAAACCTCTTTCAAAAATGCATAACAAATAAACTTCAAAATAAAACTCCTGGATATGATTACAATCTTGGAAAGCCTTTACAACTGTTCATGGCTTCTTTATACTGTAGCAATTTTTAAGCTTTGATATGTTAGTGACCATTTCATGTTGGGGAGTAATTCCTCTGTGCAGATGAAGATCATTCATTTTGCCAGCTGTGAGTTGCTTCAGAAATATTTTAGTAAGGGGCTTTAATCACCATATTTGTGTATGTATTTGCATTGTTTACACATGGGATTTTTTTGTTTGTTTGTTTGTTTTTAGATTGATGTTTTCAAGTAAGTCTGATAGGCTCCAAAGAGTAGCATGAGAGAGACAGAGATAGACCTTAGCTTTAATGTGAGCTTTTAGCTTTAGTATTCGAATTGCAGTAATTTGAGTGTAGAATGACCTCAGTGATCATGAGTGCTGGCTGCAAACTCTTCCGTGTTTTGTAATCTGAAAGCTAATCTAAGTAAAAAGAGTTATATATGTAAAGTTGTCTTGGAAGTTTGGGGGCAACTGCACGCTTTCATATAGACAAGAATTTTATTCATCAGGGTGTGGGTGCCACAATCCCTGGTCTTAATATTTGTAACATGTTGGCTGCTGCCTGTTGCTTTGTGTCTGTGCAGGTCCCATGGTTGGTCACACGGGGGGTGCCCTCTTGCATTTAAGAGGTCGCCAAGCCACTACCAAGAGAAACTCTCTCTCCTCGGGCATGACCTAGAAGTGCACCTGTCCAGACCAGCCCAGCACTCTCTACTCCACTGTTTGATTGCTTCTCTTGGTAATTATTAGATTCTGTGAAACTCTGGGAATTCTTATTGCCTTTTCTCCTGGTTTTAAAGCAGAGAGATAGAATAGCTTTTTGTATTTTTGTTTCTTTTTGTTTTTAGGTTTAGTTAGTTTGAAACTATTGTATGTTTTGGTTGTTATTTTGGAGTGTGCTTGTCCCTGAAGCCATCCTCCCATCTAGCTTAGCCTTTTGTCATAAAAATCAACCTGTTTTCTGGTTTAAATGCTGTCCAGTGTTTGGTCTGGCCACAGGTCGGGCAGAGAGCTTACTCTCATTTTCCATTACAGCTTGGCCCTAGATCAGGTTGTAACAATTTGTTTATATTTACAAAATAATCAATCAAGTTGGTCAGCCAAAACATTTCACAAAATGTCCTAACCTTTTCAGAAATGGGGTTTGTACATAGTTGCGATGAACCTGAAAGTGATAGAAAGAACATTCTTGTGTTTTGTGAAATATTAGCAAAGAACAGCTATGAACTTATAGAACCCAGAAATGAAGGATCCCTGTGTAACCTTGCCTTTCTAACACTGCAGCAACACACACAAATACAGTTAGTCAAAACAATGAACACTCTATGATGATGAATAGTAACTTAGGAATGATTAGAAACCCTCTCATTACAAACATTCCAGACTGTTTTAGATTGAAGGTACAAAAACATTTGGAATTCCATCATCTTAAAAAAAAACATCTTAGAATTCCAGCCTGACCCTTTCTTCATTCTTTATCCCTCATTTGCGTTGTTTTTGAAGTGTGGGAACTTAAAATGAGCTCCTCAAAATATTACTTTATTCGAATTTTTTAACAGAAAACACAAATTCCTCTAGAAATATAAAGAGGATGTGTCCATTGTGTCAAAGCCCTCTTAGTTAATTGCAGGTTAGAAAGTTCTTACTTTGGAAGACTCTCCTGAAGAATCCAGTGAAGTGAATAAACTGTTGAAATGGTTTAGTTTAACTTCTGTTTTCCTAAAAGCTCCAAATGAACCATTTCCTATTTGATGATTAAGTGTCAGCAGTAGCGTAGTGCTGTCTACCTCTGTACTTTTTATTTTCTGTTCCTCATAGCAGTAGAAGGTCATGCATTTCTATAATCTACCTCAACTGTTTTCTTTATGGCCACAACAGTGGAGAGATACAAAATGCTGGGTGATCATTAAATGATTATTGTGTATGTTTAAACCTGCAATGGCAGAGAAGAAAAAATAGGCAGACTTTAATGCTCCTTTTCCCAGTGATGGTGGGGTTGATGTATTCTTCAGTAACACCTGGTCACATGGTGCTCTAAGCCTGATGGACAGGGTTGTGTTTCTTAGCTGCTGACAGAGGTTTGGCAGATCAAAACTGAAAGGGTAAGAATTTTTGGTGAAAAACTAGAAGGTTATGATTCCATGTCTGTACTTCCTCTCTCCAAACCCCCAGCGAGCTGTAGACTACATAAAGCAATTCATAAAACAATAAAGTATGCCTACAGTTAGAATTATAATAGTGCTATCATATTTAATACTTTGTGTATCAGTGTTAAAGCTGCTATCAACAGGAACATAATACTGCAGCGATGGCAGAAGAAGAAACACAGGGGTGGCTGTGATCCTGCTCTAAAAAGTACTTATTGAATACAGTAGCAGAAGGAGGACCACACAAAGAACTGAAACAATGGGAGAGGTCACCATTAGTTACATGCTTTACCTGTGACCAAACCCCAAAAAATCCCTACACAAGTTTCGCTTCTCAACACAAATCATCCCAAAGAACACTTACATATAACTTAACACAACAACAACCAACACTAGACAGCACAGCAAAGTCCCCTTGTGGGAGGGCGCGCACATAACATAAGCCTTAGTGTGGCTGTCTGCATAGCCTCGTCTCTCAGAGCCAGCACAGCCAGTAACGGTTCGCTACAATATACACAGTTGTCTACAACAGTTTGGGCACCCCAGCTTAAAAATGAAAACAATTACCATTTATTTGCCCAATTTAATATATTGGAAAAAATAAAATATGGCATCTGAAAAAGTTTGGGAACCCTTTCAGTTACTCCACTAGTGTTATTTTTTTGTCTCATTTATGTAATTTTGTTCATTAGGCATTACTCCAACTCAGATGTGAAGAATTCCGGAGCGTAACACCATGAGCCGTTACATCCCATTGTTCTGAAGTAAATGTGTCTGAAAATCAATGTGTAACATTATGAATTGTTACTACCAAAACACATATTTTCTGCTGTGTACTGTAAGTAAACTTTGTGTTTCAATGAAAAATATTATGATTATGTTTGTGTACAACTGTTCAAAGCTGTGTTTGCTAGTCATGTACTAGCCAGTGTTTTTAAGCTCTGCTCAAAATGAGCTACAATTATCAATATCAAAACAGTCACCACTAAGAATTTTTGTACATTTTTGGTAGTGTTATGCTTTTTGGTAGTGACAAAACAGAGTGTTGAATCATTTGTTTCAAGGTATAGTGTCACTCAAAGTAAAAGGAGTTTAGTCTAAAGTTCAGGTCGGTTAAAAGTCTGAAATATGTTCTGAACTCTGACTTTGAACTAATTTGGTAGAATGACTCATATATATCCATGATGTTTATGACATACGAGACTGAATCACTCATACTTGTCACGCTACCCAGTTCCTCTGAAGCCTGTAACCAACCTGTAAACTCCAACTCCCATGATTCATCTGGTTCTGACCTCATAGTCACAAGCCCAATACCTACCAATCACAAACAGTTGCGCAGATCCTCTTCCCCTGAGTTCTAACTGCCTCCACCTGTTCTTATTATCTCTGTTTGTATGTTTACCTGTTCAGTATGAGTTGCTTTTTATGAAGTATTGCAGACTTGATTTGCATAAAGGGCATTTTTCTCGTGTTATTTGACCCTTTTTGTCCCTCGTTTGCTTGTCTGGATTCTCCCTTGGACTTTGGTATTGTATTGTTTGTTATTATAACCTATAAAACACAGAAGCTTTCATCCTAAGGATATAACTGCATGGTAATCACATATTTAGTTTTACATTGAAAACAATGTAAACTGGCTAATTCTTAAATTATAAGAGTGATGTCTGGATGTCTGGAAGTCTTCCACAGAGTTTAAGAGGTTAAATGTTTATTGCATTGACATTATTATACTTAGTGATGGAAATAAATGTTTTGAATTGCGTCATCTGTAAACATTTATGTTGCCTCCCTAATCATTTGTGCAAGTACACCCTGCTAATTTCTGCATGTTTACAGTGTAGATGAAACTATTTATTCACTACAGATTTGTGTGTTTAACATGTTGATTATTTTCCTTTGTCCTTTTATTTGCATAAAAATACAGGTGGTTAATGTGTCTCTCTGAAGATAAAAGTCTTTTTTTTTAAAGCAAGGTCCACTGAGGTGCATAATTTAAAATTGAGCCATATTGGCAGTGAAATGGGGACAAAAAACCTGCAGTCAAAGGAAGGAAGCTCAAATGTAAAGCTTTCCATTATTGTAAAGTCTGTTATATCAGTATATTGTTTATTTGCTGTCCAGATTTAGGTTAAAAACACAAAAGGAAGCACTGAAGCTTTATTTAAACCTGTGAAAATGGTGTCCAGCTTCAAGCACAAGATGTTATCCACTGAAGAACCATCACGCACAGTGTAGGTAATGACACTGTTACAACACCATTAAAAGAAAATGACACAATAACATAAAAACATTCAGGTTAAAGTTTTTATTTTATTTTCTTCTTAAAAACAATATCCGTAATATCAACCCTATTATTACTAACGCATATAAAGAAAAGGTGACTAAGCGGAGAAAATGAGAACATTTATCTGTACATTCAGAATCTGACGACTTTGTTCCTGCAGATTCACACTTGTGAAAAGAATAAATTGTATTTAGATCTATAAGAACAAGCATATTGCAAGCAAAAAACTGTAACTTTTAATCAACATTTTTAAGTTAACCACTAGAGTAGTTAATTTTTTAAGCTCATTAAACTTCTAATATTAAGTTAACAGAATAATTTGTATCAAAATATGTTAACTTATTATTTCAGTTATTAAAACCTTTATGTTAACCATATTACCGACTTTTTAAATGCATTATTTTATAGCGCTACATCATAGACCAGCCAAAATACAAATAAATATAGCCGCAAGCAGCAATCTGGGTTCAAGCACGCATCAGCACAGTAAGCCCTTATGCAGCCTTTGTGCAGCTATAGCGCCCCCCTTTGGTCAATTGTGGTAAGTTTTGTTGCCCAGTGAGATGCACACAAACTACACGTACCCACCAAGTCTGAGGTCTCTACGGCTCACAGTCTCTTCTCCACAATACGTTTTTCATAAGAAAAAAAAAACAATAATAATAAGAGGAATAAGAGGAAAAATCCTAACAAATCTGTGTGTTTGAACCTTAATAAATTAGCCGATTCCTGATTATGTGCATCCCTAGTATTACGACAACATCTGAGCTGGTTGTTTGTTGTAAGCACGTCGTTTGGTTTGTTTCCCTTTACAGGTTTACCTGCATATGACCATCAATCATGTAAGGACCACTCACCAATCAGAGACCTGGTGTAGAGTCCTGGCATAACTGGAGGAGGAGCCTAAGCCCTAAAAGGAGGCATTCAAACTGGCTGAAGAGAGAGAACTATGATTACATCATGTGCTGTTTTGGCTTGTTTTAAATCTCTCGTGAGTTTGTGCTTTTAGTTTAGGTATTTTACCAGCACATTTACTCACTAGGTTTACAAGGGGCTGTGTCTCTTGTGCTAGGGGTGTGCTGTTTGATAATCTACCAGCACTTACTAACTTTGTTTATAATACATTGCAGTTTGTGTGTTAGGATTGTGTTTATTAGTGATGGCAAAATGAAGATTTCTGCTTTTCCAGTGCACATTAATGACACCTAGTGGTTAAAAGCATAAACAGCAGCTGTAAGTTCCTTCTGTCCTGGAGGGTGCTTTAGGATTAAAGTTCAAATCTTTGTCTTGCAGTGATTTAAAAGCATGTAATTAGTTTTGGAACAATAAAGGTAATTAGTGACATAAACATAATGCCAGCGTGTTACATGTAAAAAAAAAATAATCACCTTAGAGGTTCAAGATGGTTTATAGCTGGTATTTATTGCAGATCTCCTGAGAAAATTAGTGACACATTCTTTGTAGGCATAGTTATCCATGATGATTCCACACCAAAGCATACCCGACAGAGCAGTGTCAGCAGTGTTGAGACAGTCAAGTGGATAGCGCCTATGCATGAATGGAGCTGTAATTCCCCTCAAGTTGGACACTGGGGCAAAGGCCAATTTGATTTGTAAGATATCCAAGCAATCAAAATAAAGCCAAAGTTCATCACAAGGCTGTACAGCTCAAAGCTTGCAATAGACAACAAGCTGAAACTTAAGGCATGTGCAGACCCGCTGTGAAAGTAATAGAAAGCGAGCATAACCTGTTTGTCATTGTACCAGAAGGACATGACTGACTTTTGGGCGATAAAGCTTGAGATAATCTAGACCTGGTCATAAGACTGTACAGGATTAACAGTTCCAACACACAGAATAACAGTGTGTATGCAATTGTACAGCAGTTCCCAATTGTCTTTAATGTAGTTATATTATAACTGGAGTTTGGGGAGAGGAACATGCCTGAAACCCCTCCTTCTTCCAGTCTAACGCCCTAAAAATTTACATCCTCACCTTCCGTTCCCATGACGAAGAGTTCACAATCCCCACCACCATCCCATCTCCTTCCTGCTCTTCAGTCCAACATCAGTCCTGCTACAGCTATGAGGGGGGTCTGGCCTTATAGCTACAGGCAGAGGCTGCCCGGAACTCCAGCCCAAGTTCTCAGAGTTCTCTCCCGCTCCCTCGATACATTTAGTGGTATGCTTCAAAAACTCAAATGGCGATCTACATGTATGCATGGATCCAAAAGATTTAAATGCAAATATTAAGAGATCATTACCTACCAGGGAAGAAATCACAAGTGAGGTTTTTGGCAGTTAAAATTGCATAAGGATAGCACATAACTCAGCACATTCCGTACACCGTATGGCTGATATTTCTTCCTCAGATTACTGTTTGGAGTCTCATTGGCTCCAGAGATTTTCCTCTGAGCCGTTGAGCACATCATTGAGGGCACTGATGGTGTACGTTTATATGTTGATGACATTGATATGCCCAGACCTTCGGACAAAAAGACTGTATTATGAGTAACGGGAATGATAATTTCATTGGAAAATTAATACCAAACTTGTCTTTGAAAACAGTGCACCTGAGAGTGTTGTTGCACAGTCCACTTGAACTCCACTGAGAAAGACATGAGAAAGAATGTGGAAGTCTGAAGACCATCCTAACTACAGAGCCATTACTGAGCTATTTCATCCATTGAGACCTACAAAGACATTCACAGATGCATCGAAAAATGGATTAGGTGCAGTCCCACTCCAAGCAGATGGTAACAGCTGGAAGCCAGTTCCATATGCAGCAAGAACAATGACTTCATCTGAGGGTCGCTAAGCTCAGATAGAAAAAGAATGCTTGGGTCTAGTGTACAGGGTGGAGATGTTTAACAGCTATGTGTATGGCCTACCAACATTGGTGGCAGAAATAGACCACAAGCCATTAACAGCAATCATTAAGAAAAATCTGAGTGAAATGTCTCCATGAATCCAATGGTTAATGATGAAACGTCAGCACTATGATTTTGAGTTGAGACACCAGGGAAATACATTGTTCAGGTAGATGCATCAACACAAGATGAACAACGCAGTGGGAATTTCCCAGAGACAGATGTGAACTTACATGAACCTGGTTGGTGAAACTCTTCAGGTATTAGATATGAAATCCAAACTGGTTGCAACTGAAACTGCAAAAGACAAAGTTCTACAACAGGACATCAAATACATCAATAGTTGGCTCAAAGGGTCAGCTGCAAGGGCAGTGTTACAACATGAGAGCTGAGCTTAGTGTGGTAAAATGTTTTTTCTCAGGCATAATAGGATTTGTGAAACAAGACACAAACAAAACCTAAATAGAATACATGAAGGGCACCTCAAAACAGGTAAGTGCAAGACAAGGACCAGAGCTGCTGTTTATTGGCCAGGAATGACGTGGCCATTGAACAAAAGGTGTGAAGAGTGATTAATCACTTCAAAGAACAATTTTCCAGAGTCAGGTGGCACTGTGCTTTACACCACTCCAGCCAATGCTTGGCATTATGCATAATGATCTTGTGTGCCGCTGCATGGCCATGTAAACCCATTTCATGAAGCTCCAAAAGCACAGTTCTTGTGTTGAAGTTGCTTCTAGAGGCAGTTTGGAACTCTTTAGTGAGTGATGCATGAGGTGACTTGTGGCAAAATTGGAGTCCTACGATAGTGCCATGTTTAAAGTCACAGAACTCTTCAGTCTAAATCTATTCTACTGCCACTGGTCGTCTCTGGAGACTGCATGGCTGTGTGCTTGATTTTATACACCTGTTAGCAATGGGTGTGACTTAAACATCAGCCCTCAAAATTTACATTACAGTCACCATGCTGCCTTAGACATGCACACAGATCACTGATCAGGCAGAAAAGGAGTTTTAATAGCTTTTAACTCCATTTGATTAACTCCAACACAATGAAAATGATGATGTCACATAAATCAATATTTAATATTTATTCACAATTAGCACATACATAGCAAGATCTAATGAAACATTGTCTTCTGCTGGCTGATACAAGCAACAGTGGCTTTAAACTGAAGTGCTTTACTTTACCTGAACTCATTGTAGACCATTGTAAAATGCAATAGATATTTTTTGTCATGTTTTTCTAATGTTTTGTGGGATGGGATTTGTGTATCATTAGAGTCATTATAGCAAATTTCTTTGTATTTAGACAGCTGAACTATGCCATGAATCCTCTATTAATCCTCGAAGACAGCTTTGACTCTGTACTTCTCTGAAACTGATGTTAATAAAGGTAAACATCCTTGAGTCTATTCATTTGTAGTGTAATTACACTAACTAGCTACAGAGAAGAATGACAGCTTATCTCATGATTCATATTTTAAATGTTACACATTTAGTTAGAATAATAATTGTTATTTTGTCAGGCACAACCTGCTTTTTTGGCATGAAAAGTTAATGGATTTATTACAAAATGTAATGACCTGACCTATTACGTGCACTGGTAGTGTCAAGATTAGTGTAAACTTTCAGATTATTATGGTCACAGAATAAGCTACAGATCCCATTAACCTAGTGTGTACAGTTATTCAGTGCAGGGCTGGAAGGGTTTTGTCCTGAACCTCTTTTTCGGGGGTTCAGTCCACCTTGTTCAGAATCATAAGCAGTCTTTTCTACTGTTCAGCAGAGATTGTCCCGCAATATTTTCCCCATATGAAGCAGGGTTTAGACCACATTGTTCAGCATGAGAGTCTTCATCTGCCATAAAAGTCTTTACCCGCTCCTGAGATTGATTCCCAGCAAGGTCACAGCTGGGGACTCACTTGAGGTCATCTTTGTGTGTTCGAGTTATACATAAAAGATAGATGTGATTGTCTGCAAAGAAAAAAATGCCTTATATTCTTTCATATATCTCTCAAATCAGCCAATGAATGTAACCAGAACAGTGACTAGAGTGATAGCTTTAGGTGATTGCCACCTCTCTGCAAACTTGGTATATGCGTGTGTGTGTGTGTGTGTGCTGTAGAAAGTAATGCAGTTTAACAGCAAAAAAGCAACACTGTCACCACTGCCACCAGGATTAGATCAAACTAGGGTTAAAATTAGCTGAGTAAGCAAGAAATACTGCATTGTTAAACGGATGCCTGGATTGAGAATGATGAATACCAGTGATGTAACTGGGATCTTATGGGCCCCAGTGCAAAAACAATTTATGGCCCACCCCACCACACAAAATTACTTTCAATCAATAAAAAAGGCATTGTAATTTATATGTTTATTCGGTATTGTTATGTGTCAAATGAGTTGATGCTCTTAAGACATGCCACTCCACCCACTAGCATCTAATGTATTTGTTTTGCTATATAACATTGTAATAAATACAAATAAACACAAAAACAGTAAACAGAATGTGTTGTTTGGCTAGAAGTCAGGTTTGGCTCCTGATGTCTGGCTGCACTCCAGCCATCGCTTAGATTTGTTCATTTCTATCAGCACCAGCACCTGATATAATTTAATAAAGGATTGATAAGATAAACTAGGTATTGGATGGTGACTGTAAATGCTGGAATTCCTCCGCGAGAGATTTGGAAAATGGTTTAGCTAGCACTCATCAAATCACTATGGATTATTTATTTTTTGTTTGTTTATTTGTACTTATTCTAATGTTAGTTCTAATGTTAGTGTTTCCAAGAGAAAGCACATCTCTAGCATATCTTACCTGACTTTTTCGTTGTTTTTTGCTTATTTTTCCTTGAAGAAAAAAAAGAATTTAAAATATTAAAAAATTAAAAAAGCGGTGTTGAGCTAAGTTTTCTCTTGTTAAAATATTATAATATTTCAGACAAAAGTAATCATGCAAAAATGTTTAGAAGTAATCACAAGAGAGCATTTGCTTCTCAAATGTCAATGTAATCAATCTCAGATGGAGAAGCTGAAAAATAAATGTAACCATTTCAAGAATTAAAAACATAAACAACATAAAACACTACACACAAAAAAATTCTTAGCAAATAAATAATTATGAATTCCTTACCTGCATGTGAGACTCCCACACCTTAACATGATAACCGTTACTGCCATAGCCACAGCCACAATTATTATAATAGAAACTATGATTCCAGGTATTAGACCAGCTGGACTTTTATTTCCACATTCAGCATCAGAAGAAAGTGTTCCTGCCTTTATTTCTGTAAGTCCCAGATCTTCACATCTGTCAAACACAACTGATGAAGTAATATGAAGTTCTTGGCCTAGCTGACCAGAAGCACTGTTAATATGAGTTGAGAAAACTGTATGACATTCTTCATGTCTTCATTCAGAGGCTGAAGGTCATGAAAATTACAACCAAAACTACATCCAAATGACAGTTCCTTTTCACATGCTGTATCTCTGAACCACTCTCTCCTTTAACTAGTCCAGTCTAGACCAATTATTACTGAAATTGTGCACATCACAATAGAAACCGTTACACTGTTTGCATTTATCTGTATTTGTATTTTGCAACTTATGGCAAAACTTATTCAGTGACACTCTTTAAGTAAACTTACTTTGAATGTGTTTGGCAAGTCTGAAAAGAACCATCTGAGAAGGTACCATCTGCACATTCAGCACATTCTGTATCTTTAAATGCTGTTCCTGCAAACATACAAGTTCTGCTCAGTTACAGTGAACAAAGTAGCTGTAAGTAAAGTGCTCAAGGTGTTAGTGAGAAAGTTTATAGTTTATACAGATATATTACACCAACCTTTATGCTTTATATATTGTCCAGTGCTGCAGTTTGTGTGTTTCTCTGCTAGTATACAGCTGCCTCTGTGTTGATCAGTACAGTAATGTTCATCTAGTGGCTCACAGACTGTATCTGATGATCGAGTGCAGGGAGTCTTTACTCTTAAACCCTGACCTGAGAAAAATATAAAACAACACTGTTCCTCTAAAACATATTACTATAAATGGGGCTGGCTCTAGCCTTTTGTGGGCCCTAAGCAGGATTTTTTGAGGGCCCCCATCTTGCTAGCTGATTTACTGTGAAATGTATACTAATAATAATGCTTAAGAAAAAAAATAATCTTCTTAAAACCCACTTATGCAGTTTTCACCAAGATTCTGACATTCAGCAATGTTTTCTTATTTGGGATTTGTTCCTAGGTAAGAACAGAATCTACACACGCAGAACTCAAAGGTGAGAACTGATTCTGCGGTTTAAGAACAACTCATGAATCTGACCTATTGGTGGATGAGGCCCAGTGACTTCCACAAACTGTCTAAAGTATGTAAATTTATAACTGGCCAATTTGTGTATTGCTGATGACTGAATGCACTTTGGGGTTCTAATAAGTAAGTACGTTTAAATTACACACAACCTTCTCGATGCAGGGGTTTGTGTGCTGACACATTACTTCTTGCTCATGCAAGTAACTTTAAGCTTAGTCTAACGCTGGTTGCAGTGGTGACAGCTATGCTTTACATGCAATATAGCTATGATTAAAAATAAGAGTATATGAAAGGAAAGTAATTAACAGATTAGGCTTGTAAAATGCAACAGCAATCATTAGTTTTTATTTGGACCGCTTGTAATGTTGCTAGCTAAATCAGCATGCCTTAGTCCAGGTCTATGGACTAAAGCTTATGGAACAGTAGTAGCAGTTTATGGAAGACTGAAGGGATGGGAAAAGAATAAACCAATGGTGATGTAAACAGCGTGCAATGATTTCTTAAATCGGAGTAAAGTCTAGAAATCTGATTAAAGAGATAAATCCAGGATAAATCCATTAAAGAGAGCTGGATTTTAGTTCAGTAATCAGATTTCTCAGAGCTTTGAAACTCTTATTCAGATTTCTTTTGGGTTTCTTGGTCTGCACTTGTGCGAAAAACAGACCGTGGTACTGGAAATGAGTAAGCAGCGTTGCTGCAAGATGGCAACAAAACACTTTTGCAACAACGGCAAAACCAACTACATTACTGCCTGTTTTGTATTGTAAGTCTTTCGTATTTATTCATTGTACTGTATTGTCTGCACTGTGTATACTGTATTGTCTTGCACTTGTGTTCCTGTGTTGCACCATGGTCTTGGAGGAATGTTGTTTCATTTCACTGTGTACTTGTATATAGCTGAAATGACAATTAAGCCTGACTACATGCTTGACGAAATGAAGGATTCAAATATTCTTCATCTTTTAGATGATATATGTTCATATTTTCAGGTAAAGTAGCTGGATGTTTTAAAAAGTGCCACTGCATGATGTTTGAGTTTTACATTACATTTACATCACGTCTTCTTCTGTGAGTTTACTGGCTGATTGTAAAGCAGAAATCCAATTGTTACCTGAGTCATGTAAGCCTGGAGTCCCCATGATCTGATTACTCAAGTGCATGCAAACGTGTTGATCGTGTTACTTACACAGTCTGATTTTCTGCAGCTATTGGATTTTTAAGTGCATGTAAACGCAGTCATTGTTGTTGATGTGCGAGTTCAGCTGATGGTGGTGTTAACCATATGGATTAATCCAAAGATGTGTTTTATTTCTGTTTTGTCTTTAAAATGCATAGAAAACAACATCCCTAAGTATATCAGGCTGTCTTGTCCAGGCACATTATCACCATATCTGGAGTTTTACATTCAAAACTGTTAAACTGAAGACGTGACTGAGTGAATGGCAGATAGGAACAGTTGCTAAGCAGTGACTGGAGGGCCAAGAAAACGAGATTGGGTTTGTGAGTAGTCTGTCAAAGACAGGGGCTGTGAAACCTGCAGGAATCATGAATGATGCTAAAATATGTTAAATCCAATCCACATAATTTTCTCCTGATAAATTATTAGCCAGTTGTAAGGGGGCCCCCTAATGGCTGCAGGGTCCTAAGCAGCCACAACTATGGCTTAATAGGCAGAGTTGGCACTGACCATAAAGAGCATATTCTTAATCTTGTACTTTACATACACTAAGGATACAGAATTCTACATAAAACATGAATTTCTCATAAAGGACAGACTTACCAGGATCACACACTGTGCAGCTAAAGCAGTCTCTGAGTCCGTTTGGTGCATCAATGAAAGTTGAGTCATGACATGAAACACAAGTAGTGCTTATATCCGCAGTGCAGTGCCTGTAAACACGATTTCCTACAAGACATTCCAAAGATGAGCTGACAGAGTAATGTCCTAATGTTTCTCCAGTTACATTATGACAAACCACTATGACTGATTTCTTCCCTAATACAGTCCAGTTAAAATTGATAGAATGAATAGCATCATATTTATATATTTAATCCACACTCAATGACATGCGTATGAATCTCAGTACAGATATGAGACCCCTCTTGTCTTGGGTGAATTCACTCTTATCACGGTACAGTTTGTCACTGGCTTTTTAACACTTTTACCATACCCTACCTTACTATAATACAACTCTGAATTAAGCCAAATCAGCTTTAACTTACCAGGTGCACACATGGGACAGCATTCTCCATCTATCTCATACTCAGCGCGGGCACATGAGCAAAAACAGAGCTCAAAATTCAGGGACAAAATAGCAGCAATAAGAAACGTGATCTCAGCTCCACAGATCATTTTTAAAAGTTTGCATTTCATGATTTCATAGAGGAGAAGCTGCAAAAAGAGCAAAAATATTAGAATGACTGAAACTTCTGTCAAAAATGAATAACAAATACAGCTTTATAAATAAAACTCCTGGATATGATTACAATCAGGCATAATCTTTGTATGAAACTGAAAGCCACTACAGCTGTTCAGAATGCATTCTTTATGTTGTAGAGATGTATTTTAAGGCAGTATTAGGTAGTTTAAACTACCAGTGGAAGAAATACTAAAATCATTTATTTGAGTATAGAACTAAAGTAGAGTCACATAATAAATACATGAGTACATTAATACAAGTTAAACTTGTATCTCTTCTAAAATTCAACAATTGAAATTACAATCGAATCTGAAACCTAAACATTGAAACTAAAACCCTATTTTTTTCACTCACAACTTCCATATATTCAGTTTTGATGGGATTCGTTATAGATGGGAGCTGCAACAGAGTAACGAGATAAAAAACTAGTGGGGTCCTGTCAATATTTTTTTAACATGCCCTTTCCAACTTCAACTCACTTCTCAAAAGCACAAAAGTCATAGACCACCCTTAGTAATTTCCCATTAAAATGGCCATTAAGTACAAGTTTTTTGTTTTTCAGAAGATGTTTCTTAGAAAATTAGATATAAAATAATTCACTTGCCCAAGGAGGGGAAAGTCAAAATAAAATGCATGAAAACATTTTCAAAACTGGACTTTAAAAAAATGACTAAAAGATGCAGAGAACATGGAACTCTTAAGAACTCTGCAAGACCACCAAAACTGTCCCCAACCTAAAGCTTGCATCTTTGAGAGAGAGGAGAAAATCAAGCTCCACTCTTGCTTCAAATCTGAAAAAATCCACAGGTGTTTCTGTCCATCCTTCCACTGTGAGAAGACAACTCAGCACTAAGAGTCTGAAAGGATGTGTAGCTGTTAAGAAGCTCCTACTGAGATAAAGAAATAAACAAAAAAGAAGAACATTTGCAAAAGAAGCTGCTTTTGTTCTCAGAACAATGGACTGACCACCCCAGAGTCCTCAACAGACCTCAACATCACTGAATGTGTTTGGGATTACTTGAATCATGAGGAGCAGAAAAGGTAACCAACTTCCAAGAGTGAACTTTGGAGGTTTGGAAAAATATTTCTGCAGATCTTTGAAAAACTGAAAGCAGGTCCCCTGAAAAGAATGGATACACTAAGTGCTCCCTCATCACCTCATCCTCCTGGGTAGCAGGGGGTGCTGGAGCCTATCCCAGTGCTTATTGGGCAAAAAGCAGGAAACACCCTGGACAGTTTGCCAGTCCATCACAAGGCAGACACACAGACATACACATGCACAAACAACTAGGGGCAATTTAGTATATCCAATTGGTCTGACTGTCTATCTGTGGACTGTATGAGGAAACTGGAGCAACCAGAGGAAACCCACACAGAGAGAGAAGACTTGAACCTAGCTTTTCTTGCTGTTGAGACTTTTATGTATTCTTTTGTTAAATATTTGTTCTGTTTTTTCTCTGATGCTGAAAAAAGTAATAACTTACGGCCGTTCAGACTAGAAATTAGATAAATGAACAGTGATTTCTGTCTTTTGCCATTTTACACATGATCACTCACATAAAAAGGAATGAGAGGACAGTGATCACTGAGCAGCAGTCTTATTTAATGGGAAAACGTTAGCCACAGTCAGTTATATAGCTAGCTATACAAAATTTATAATGCAAAAAGCTTAAACATACGTATATTCTCTGAATAACTGCTTATACAGTAGTGTGTTGGCTTTCTTTAAGTTGTTGCTGACTGCATAGCCTTTAGCTTGAATGAGCAGAATGCAGAATTTACCATGTGAGTGTCACTATTTATCTCTTCTTTATTTACCAAACAAGCACTCACAATGTCATTGATGCAAAGCACCACTCTGAATGAGTTAAAAGCCAGGTCCAGGAGGTGACCAAAGAGCTGACTGATTCAGGAGCAATGCTTCACTGTAACATTGTTTTAAAAGTTTTGAAATAGTTCAAATCCCTGTTTCAGTACACCCATCACTATGATTTGTTCATGAATTTGATTTATTTATATTATCTGATTCTGAAAAGGGTGTAAATGCATACTAAGTAGGCATTTTCTATGCTGCTTTATTATAAAAAGGTATTTAAGGCAATTATTATATCTTGCTGTGACAAACCTGAGTGTTATAGAAACAAATATTCTTGTGTTTTGTGAAATATTATACAGTCCAGAAATGAAGTACAACTGTGTAACCTTGCCTTTCTACAATACTACAGCAACACACACAAATACAGTTAGTCAAAATAAGGACACTCTATGGTGATGAATGGTAATTAGGAGTGATTAGAAACCCTCTCATTACAAACATTCCAGACTGTTCTAGATTGAAGTTACAAAAACATTTGGATTTAGAATTCCAGCCTGATCTTTCTTCCATTCCTTATCCCTCCATTTACATTGTTTTGAAATGTAAGAAAATTATCCAATGAAAAATAAGCATTTTTTACATTATATAATTGCTTGTAATAACAGTAAATGCAAGAAATTCAACTAGAACTCTACATATGATGTGTCAAAGCCCACTTAGTTAATCACATGTTAAAAAGTTCTTACTTTAGAAGACTGTTCCCTGAGTCCAGTGATGTGAATGAACTACTGAGACAGCTCAGTTTAGCTTAGATTTTCCCAAAAAGCTCCAAAATGAAGTCCTGTTTCCTATTTGAAAATAAAATGTCTGGTTGTTGTATAGTATAAACACACCTGAATAAAGCAGCAGTGCAGTCTACTGCTGTACTTTCTGATTCCTGTTTCCTCATAGCTCCAGTAAGAGGTCATGCATTTTAAATAGTCCACACCTACTGTTTTCCTTATGGCTACAGACTTTTAAATGATTGTATGTGTTCAAATCTGTGATGGCAGAGAAGAAACCGACATTTCCTTCTTACATCCCAAAAAAAAAACTTAATGCTCCTTTTGTTGTTTATCAAGTAGCGATGATGTGAAGATGATGAAGGAAAACTCTGCTGACACTGTCTTGCCAGTATAAGATGTTTATTACAAAGTAAAACAGTATCATATCAAGCACTATAAAGTACCTGAGAGAGGATCTGTGCCAATTCTAAGGGTCCCCTCCAGAACAGAATAGCCAACGGCTTATATATTGGACTTGTTGTTGGAACAGAAGACAGAACATACGGTCCTTATTAAAAGAATCTCATCTATTTGGGATTAAGAGAAGAAGGGAGAAAGTGAGAGGCCTACTCCCTATGGGGCTTTGGACCAGGGGCCCCCTTAATTTAAACATTCCAGACCTGCAAAAACAGACCTGCAAAACAGAGCACACAGAGAACTCCTGGATACTACAGCA